AAGAAAATAGTAAAATCTTGTAGATTCTTGCAGTACAGGAAAATACCAAATATGGGACCTCGTTTTGACATTTCGCTTATGAACGGTACATTTTGTAACATATTTTGGTACATCATCAACATATTTTAAAAACTTGGTCGAACGAACTTAACGTTCTTTGACGTAAAATTTATATAGATTTGACACACGTTCCATACCTCGGAAATAATCATAAATAGCAGAAATATATTTGTAAGGGTGGGCCTTGAAGTTGTTTATTTTTCAATGCAAAATACTCAGCCATTAGCATTCATTCTCACAATTTTCAGTAATACGGAGTGATTTGAAAGGAAATTTACAATATTTGACTCCAAAAGCTATTTCAGTTATCCGATATTTTCAGTTATGCTAAGTTTCTGTTTGCACGATATTTTGTTGTTGAAATCTGTTCCGATGTAGATATAGCCCTCACATATTTTTTTGTTCGATATTATGCCTGTTCGGGTATCCGTTTATTTTCTGCACGCTAGATCTGCTTTTTTCCCACTTTTGGTGGGAATGCATGCCAATTGGGAGTATAATTTTTTTTTTTTTTTTAAATTTGGTGTTTTGAAGGCCGAGGTGCCTATAATGTGGTAAATAGGTGAGTATTTTTGGTGGGTATTAAACGTCTTCGATAAAAATGTCAATATATTCCATTGTGATTACGGAATCCCAATTAATGCTAAGACTTTATTTTCGGTATTTTTAAGGTCTCACCCGCCAAGAGAGCTATATGCTATTTGACATGCAACTGGACAGCTCGATGTGCAGAACTTATACACAATAGTTTTTGGTGACCTTTTATATAAAATTGCTCAACTATATCAAAACGGTTCGTTCTTTGGCGAAATAAATGAACTGCCCAAATTCCATCTTATACGGATCAGAAACACCATCTGTACTTTTTCTACAATAACATATGGGTGGATAGATAGACGGGTGGACATGCATAAATGCTCACAGAAATCGATTCTTCCTTTTACATATGCACAAAGAAAATTTGGTATTTTCCTTAAAGTTGATAAAAAAAACTTCTTCGTAGAAAAATTACAGAATAGGATACCAAACCATTTTTGGCATGTGTAGATCCTATCCGAATTTTTCTACCAAATTGTTTGTGATTTGGTATTTTGTTATTGACATATTCGAGTGCTTAGAGGGAATCACTAGGATATGTCAAGTGCTTAGAGGTAAAAAAAAACATTTGTAAAATGTTTTGGCATAGTCCCCATAAAAGGGTGCGGTCACATTTTCGGCATTTTTAAGGTTTCAGCCATATCCTGCCAACCGAAGTGTTTGTATTTGGATGTTCTTGATTTTCGGAGGACGATAAATGATCAACAGACGTCAAGTTTTTAGTATAGAGGATGATAAATGAAATGAGGTCCAGATTTTAGTATACACCCCCATTTTTTGTATTTTGAAGATATTCGTCACATTTTCTATTTTCTCAATGTTTATCCACATTACGGGTTCTTTGAGGGTGTTTAAAAAGTTTACAGAAAAATGTTATGAAGTATGTCCATGTATGGACATAGTTTCCATATAAAGGTCTTGATTTTAAGCCAACTTCTTCGACATGATATGAAGGCCAATCTTGGATGTACCCAAAAGAATCACGTCTAGATTTTTCCATTTTGTATTTCCGTGTACATATGCAGAACACCATTCCCAAATCATTATTCAGTATATTATATTATTATATTAGTAGGTCAGAAAATTTTCCACAACTAAACTTAAACAAACATTTAGAATTTGGAAATATGTTGTTGTGTTTATTAAACGTAATAAACCCAAAGATAAAGAAGAAACGATGTAACATCATAACGTCTTTAATTGTAATATTTACATACCCTTATCAACATTTATTGAAATGACCTTGATATCGAAACATGTCTGGGGAGCACCTGTAAGCGTGTCTGTAAACATATATAAGAAGAGTCCATTAGGCTAATCACTATCAGTTAAACACCTACAATCGTGTTGAGTAGTAACACCTCAAGCAAGTATGAAGACCTTTATCGCCATCTTAAGTTTCGGTATGCTCATGGCATTTGCCCAGGCCACCACCGATTACTGTACAGCAAATTTATGCTTTAATAAAACGACACATATTGCTTGCGGTGAAAAGGTAACATATAGAGACTACATTTACAAAATTTCAATTTAATAATTTTAATTTTTAAGGAATTTGATTCAAATTGTCCTTCCAATGCCGCCTTTGTTGCAATCGATGATAAATTGAAAGCCGAAATTGTTCGTGCCCACAATGAGAAACGTAATTTGGTTGCTGGTGGCGGTGTTGACCATCTAAAACCTGCATGCCGTATGGCCACCATGGAATGGGATGATGAATTGGCTGAAATTGCTTCGTACAATGTTCTGCAGTGTAAAATGGCCCATGACAAGTGCCGCAATACCAAGACCTTTATGTATGCTGGTCAAAACTTGGCATGGAGATCATACTGGGGAGCAACAAATGCCACAAAACTTTTCCGTAACTCATTCGCTTTGTGGTGGAATGAAGTTAAGGATGTTAAAATGGATTTCATTGATTCGTATCCTCGTGGATATAAGGGACCGTAAGTAGGAATTGTACATTTTTATGTAACATTTAAATTAATTTATTTGAAAATCTTTATTCTTCAGTCAAATTGGTCATTTGACTGTTATGGTAGCCGATCGTAATATCCGTGTGGGCTGTGCTGCTGCCAGTTATTTGGATACCAGAGTTGATGGTGGTCGTCAAATATTCTTGATTGCCTGTAATTATGCCACCACAAATATGCTTGAGTTCCCCATATATGACAAATGCAGTTCACCAGCAACAAATTGCAAAACCGGAACAAATCCTCAATTCCCCAATTTGTGTTCAGCTTCGGAAAAATATGATGTCAATAAGTGGTATTAAATTGAAATATTGACGTTTTTGTTATTTTATTGTTGTTTTTTGAAATATGATACGACCTCTGGAAAAAATAAAACCTTTTAGTCCCGATAAATTTAAAATATGAGTTTTTCTTCTTTCAAAATTACATAATAATGGAATTCGCATTGTACTACGTGTAATATAATATTTAAATTAAAACTAGCTTTGAAAGGTTCAACATGAAATTCGAATAATCTGAATATAATTTTTTTTGTTTGATGTCTCCACGTCCACAGGTCTGGTTCTGTCACCACACCTGTCGGAGGAGGTGGAATTTGAAACAGCCTGCATACTATGTTATAGTACTTCAAAAGTGGGGGAAGTATCCAAATTTGCTATGCAGAAAGGCTGAGACGGTGCGTTTTTATTAGGGGGCCTTAACGTGAATACAGTAAATACGAGGATATGCTTTTTTCACCAGAAGGACAAAAATAGGACAGTATGACAACAACAAAATGTAATGTAAAATAACTACAGAAAGTCCAGAGAATATGTGGAGCATATAATTAATATTAAACCAGTATGAAAAGTAGTAAAGTCGGAAGGGGCCGACTATATGATACCCTTCACCACTTTCGATATATCCAACAGATGAAACCTAAAAGACGTTGAATTTTTAGAGGACCAGGGACAAAATTATGATATCAATTATAAGCATAGATATATATGCTGTATATGGTATACCATTTACATAAAATCGGTCGAAAATATATATGACAGCTATATATAAATCTGCACCGATTTTCAGGAAACTTAACACACATCATTCTAGAGCTAATTCATTACGCTATGTCAAATTTCGTGCAAATCGAAAGATATATATGGACTTTGGTACACCATTCATATAAAATCGGACGAAAATATATATGGGAGCTATACCTAAATCTAGACCAATTTTCAGAAAACTTAACATACATCATTCTAAACCTAATTTAGTACACTGTGCCAAATTTCTTGCAAATCGAAAAATATATAGGGACTTTGGTACACCATTTACATAAAATCGGACGAAAATATATATGGGGGCTATATCTAAATCTGGACCGATTTTCAGTAAACTTAACACACACCATTCTAGAGCTATTTCATTACGCTATGCCAAATTTCGTGCAAATCGAAAGATATATAGGGACTTTGGTACACCATTTACATAAAATCGGACGAAAATATAATGGGGGCTATATCTAAATCTGGACCGATTTTTAGGAAACTTAACACACATTATTCTAGATTCGATAAATTCATTACGCTATGCCAAATTTCGTGCAAATCGAAATATATGTAGTGACATTGGTACACGATTTACCTTAAATCGGACGAAAATATAATTGGGAGCTATATCTAAATCTGGACCGATTTTTCCCAATTTTAATAGGTTTCGTCCTTGGGCCAAATAAGTGACCTATGTTAAATTTCATCCAAATCGGATCATAAATGCGACCTGTACTTTGTTCACAAAAATACATGGACAGACAGACGGACGGTCGGACATGCATAAATCGACTTAAAAAATGATTCTATGCATATTCTAAAAAGGAACCATGTGTCTATCTCGTTTCCTTTTGCCTGTTACAAACATATGTGTGGTGAAGGGTATAAAAACACTTGGATTGACACCGGACTCAATGGATGGTAAAAATACAATACGTGCTACAATCGGATCCTCGGATCCCTCCACATTCTCGATTTCAAATTGGTCCTTATAAAGACCTGTGGTCTGTCAGCATTCCTGAGGTATACATACACTCTGTCTTTATATAGATCAATTGATCTTTATAAAGGGCTCTATACAGACCAATTCGACTATATTAACACCTGTGTTCTATATACACACAAATCGGCCATTGCAGCTTTAAGACTTAAAACAATGAATCAATTAAAACAGTAGACCAATTAGTATTCAAACACACCTGTGGTTTCTATAGATACCTGTGGTCTCTCTGCATATCTATGGTATCTGTACACTTTCAGTCGGCCTCGATACAGACCAATTGATCTTTATAAAGACCTGTAGGCCCAATATAAACCAATTGTTCTTAATAATTCGAATTTAAGTGCATGGGATATAATAAAACAGCACCGATGAAACCCTTGTGTCATCATATGTGGCTGCAGCACATCCCACACGGATATTACGATCAGCCACCATTACGGTAAAGTGGTCAATTTTTCTGAAATATATAGGCATTTCAAGAACAAAATTATTCTCCATTGAACAAATTAATGTCGCAATTTTAACTTACGGCCTACTGTAGGAAGAACGAAACGAATCAATATTGTCCATTTTGACATCCTTATATTCATTATACCATTGGGCAAATGCGATTCGGAAGAGTTTTGTGGCATTTGGTTTTCCATAATAAGAACTCCATGCCAAATTCTGGCCAGAATATATAAATGTTTCGGTATTGTGACATTTGTCATGTGTCATTTTACATTGTAGCACATTATAGGAGGCCATTTCAGCCAATTCTTTATCACATTCCATGGATGCCATACGACATGCAGCCTATAAATGACTAAAACCACCACCGGCAACAAAATTACGTTTTTCATTGTGTAAGCGCACAATTTCAGATTTTAGTTTATCATCGATATCGAGATCTTACAATTGTTCGTCTTAATTAGTTGACATTTGACAGATGTTTTTTTTCATGTAGATATATTTATTTGAAGATCAAGGTCATTTGAACAGCTGTCAAATATTGTTATAATTACGGGTTTTTTTTAATTTTTTGTGAACTTATTGTATATTAAGTGAACAAACATTTGGTATAATATTTGGATTTTAGAATGTTTTATTAAATATTTGTTAAAATAAAAACTTTATATTTGTCTAGATTTTTGTATAGTTAGACCAAACAAACAGACTAAACAGCTGGCTAGTAGACATATGAAATTCGTTTTCTAGAAAATTCCCTATGGTTCTTAATGGCTATACAATCGATGTGTATGAGTTTTATATTCGGTATTCTCCTAAGGAATTATACCCTTCACCACTCGCTGTTGCAGGGTATTATGTCTTTGTGCATATGTTTGTAACAGGCAAAAGGAAACGAGATAGACATATGGTTCCATTTGAGAATATGCATAGAATCACTTTCTGAGTCGATTTATGCATGTCCGTCCGTCTGTCCATGTTAAATTGTAAACAAAGTACAGGTCGCATTTATAATCCGAATTTGATGAAATTTTGCACAGCTCATATATTTGGCCCAGGGACGAACCTTGTTGGGAAAATCGGTTCAGATTTAGATATAGCTCCATATATATTTTCGTCCGATTTAATGTAAATGGTGTACCAATGCCTTCGATTTGCACGAAAATTAGCATAGTGTTTTGAATTGAGTATATAATGATGTTTGTAAAGTTTCGTGAAAATCGGTTCAGATTTAGGTATATCTCCTATATATATTTGCGCCAGATTTAAGGTAAATGGTGTATCAAAGTCCCTGCACCAAATTTGGCATAGCGTACTGAATCGAGCCTAAAATGATGTGTGTAAAGTTTCGTGATAATCGGTTCAGATTTAGATACTGGACTGTGTTTTGCTGGTACTCGATCTAATTCAACAATTTATTATAAAATGTGATTTGAGACCCCAGTGACACAAATTTAAAGGTGTGTCGACAAAAACACGCAATTTCTATTTTTTATGTTCCGGTTAAAAAAAAAACTTCCTCTCGAAAATTCATCTACAAGAGCGGAGGGAACGTGATTGTTGGAATGAGATGACAGCACAAGACGAAACCTATTGCAATAGGTGAAGGTCGGTTCAGATTTAGATATATTTCTAATATATATTTTCTTCTAATTTAACAATAGCTCCCAAAGTTCCAATATATGTCCGATTGAGACAGCGCACAGAGTCGAAATAACTGATTTAGAGGCGCTAAATTCAGAACTTCTAAGCAAATTCTTATATTCTTAACAAATTTGCAAAAAACTCAGTCTATACTTGTAGGAATTTTTTAATGTTGTCATATAAGAATCCTTACTAAATAGCCAGAAAAAATTGCAGTTAAAATATGATAACATTTTTAGTTCCATTCCATGCGAAAATAACACATCACAGAAAACTCCAATAATAATATAACTTATTGACTTAACTGATAAATTTTGCCCTAAGTACCCAATGTTTCTCCAATTGATCCCATACATAATTTCGTTCAAAGATGCACGTCTATCCGACCAACAGGATATTTTACACATATGTGAAACTTAATTTTTGAAAAATTCCCTATTTTTTAATACAATTCGAGTTAGAAAATAAGGAAGATCCTTGCATTTATCCAAGTTCATACGATAGCTATATACATGTGTTTATATATTTGTAGGTGACACAAAGAATCTTAGAAGTACCTCTTGTACATACCCAAAGTCGTGTAAAGTATCACATAGGCGTCCCCGTCCAACTGTGTTTTTTTTTCCAAATTCACCACAAGATGGAAATATTGAAATATTCACCTGAGATAGCAAGAGCAAACAACATTTAAGATAGAGATTTGAAATTTTGCACAAACATTGCTACTACTCCTAGTATGTTCGGTATTGAAAATCGGTACACATTTTAGGGTATCCTCCAATATTCGGTAGTTTGTGGTTTTTGTAATTGGTTGTAATTTGTAATTTTGCGTTCCAAATCTGTGGAGATTTTCCTACACACAACTTTCAATATTGGCCCGATTATTCAGATTGCCTCCCACAATATTCGATATTTTGAAGCTATTGGACACGTTTTTCAACAGAATTTATCCTTAATTGATTTTTCAATCTAATTGGCTGTAATTTGGAATATTGGGTTCTCATTAGGCAGCAACTACTACCAAATTATGAATATTGGTTCACTTTTAAGGATAGCCCCCATATGAAGTTACCTCCTCAAATATAAATCATATTTTTGCTGAAAATTGTCCACATAGGCCCATATTTATACCCTTCACCACACTGTGGTACAGGGTATTATGTCTTTGTGCATATGTTTGTAACAGGCAAAAATAATCGAGATAGACCCATGGTTCCTGTTGATAATATGCATAGAATCACTTTCTGAGTCGATTTATGCATCTACGTCCGTCTGTCCATGTAAAATTGTAAATAAAGTAGAGGTCCCATTTATGATCCGAATTTGATGAAATTTGGCACAGATCACTTATTTGGCCTAAAGACGAACCCTATTGAAATTGGGAAAAATCGGTTCAGATTTAGATATAGCTCCCATATATATTTTCGTCCGATTCAAGGTAAATGGTGTACCAAAGTCCCTACATATCCTTCGATTTGCACGAAATTTGGCATAGCGTACTGAATTAAGTCTGGAATGATGTGTGCTAAGTTTCGTAAAAATCGGCTCAGATTTAGATATATCTTCGTCCGATTTAAGGTAAATGGTGTACCAAAGCCGCTATATATCTTTTGATTTGCACGAAATTTGGCACAGCGTAATGAATAAGGTCTAGAATGATATGTGTTAGGTTTTGTGAAAATCGGTTCAGATTAAGATATAGCTCCCATATATATTTTCGCCCGATTTTAAGTAAATAGTCCACTAATGTCCCTGCAAATCTTTTGATTTGCACGAATTTTGGCATGTTGTACTGCATTAAGTCTAGAATGATGTGTGCAAAGTTTCGTGAAAATCGGTTCAGATTTAGGTATAGCTCCCATATATATTTTCGTCGGATTTAAGGTAAATGGTGTACCAAAGTCCCAATATATCTTTCGATTTGCCCGAAATTTGGCACAGCGTAATGAATTAGGTCTAGAATGATGTTTGTTAAGTTTCGTGAAAATCGGTTTAGATTTTGAGATAGCTCCCATATACATCTTCGTCTAATTTAAGGTAAATGTTTTATCAAAGCCCCTACATATCTTTCGATTTGCACGAAATTTGACATAGCGTACTGAATTAAGTCTAGAATGATGTTTGCGAGGTTTCGTGAAAATCGGTTCAGATTTAGATATAGCTCCCATACATAGTTTCGCGCGATTTTATGTAAATAGACCACTAAAGTCCCTGGATTTTTTTTTGAGGTGCACGAATTTTGGCATAGCGTACTGAATTAAGACTAGAATGATGTGTGCAAAGTTTCGTGAAAATCGGTTCATTATTAAATATAGCTCCCATATGTATATTCATCCGATTTTAGGTAATTGGTGCACTAAAGTATCTGAAAGTCATTCCATTTGCACGAAATTTGCCATAGCGTACTGGGCTTAACTCTAGAAGTTCGAGTACGGTACCCGGTTATATCAGGTTCTAAGGATCCGTTTAATATAAAATGGGTATATTTTAAAGGTTATAAAAATACATTTCCATTGAGTGGTAATATGATGGGGTTATCTCAAACCATTTTGGAGATATAGTCAAAAAACTGGGTTTAGGTCCCCGATTTTTTTTTGAAAAACTCCCTAAAAGTCGAACTTGGGTCCATTATAGTCCCTTCCCAACCCAGATTCCAATGATAGACCACAATTTGCCCTTTCAAAAATGGTGCGATATGTGGCTGTATCTGTTGTGGATCAAAAGATAAGGGCCTTAGAACGCTAAAAAACAAGAAAATTCTGTCGCGTAGCCGGTGTTGGTATCTGTCCATAGGAGGAAGTCTGAAATCCCCGGCCGAAGGGGATCATAACGTGTGTATGGCATCATATAGTCAACCCGTCCGACTTTTGTACTATCCTTATTAGTCGTTTTACATATTTATAAATTAATTTTTAGGTGGGTGTACCTCCTGAAAAATATATATGAAAATGTTGCAAAGCTCAAATATTTGTATATCTTCATCATTTTCCGCGAAAACGGTAGTTGACGATCACTTACCGATTTTGGTAATAGGGCTTTAATAAGTTTGTTGTAAAACTTTAAAGGTTTAGTAATTCAAGCTCGAGTAGAATTCGACTCATTTCGAACCATTGCTGTTCAATTTTTACTAAAAACAAAAATTATTTTCTAATGATTTATTTTATTTATTATTTCCAAAAATCATAACAAAACTGTGCCAGATCATAGTCAATGAGTTCAAAGATTAATACCACTTGTTGACATCATATTTTTCCGAAGTAGAACACAAATTGGGATATTGGGGATTTGTTCCAGTCGTACATGACGAACCAGCTGAACTGCAGCTCTTGTAAATGGGGAATCCAACCATATTAGTTGTGGCATAATTACAGGTTATCGAAAAGGTTTCGGTAGGAGAATAGGGAGATTCGTATGTGACTGCAGCACAACCTACACGAATATTACGATCGGCCAACATGACTGTGACATGTCCAATTTTCCTGAAAAACATTTCATTAAATATTTTTTTGAAATACAGCATAAACAGGATTTCACTTACGGTCCTTTGTAGCCCACCGGGAACAAATTGATGTGACTCATCTTAACATTTTTCACTTCATCGTACCACATATCGAAGGTATCTTCGAAAAGACCTTCAGGACTTGGTCTACCTTGATATGTTGTCCATGCCAAATTTTGTCCGGCATACTTAAAAGTTTCAGTATTGCGACATTGGTCGTGAAACATTTGACAACGACGGGCATTGTAACCGGCCAGGCGGGCTAATTCATCATCCCATTCCATGGTGGCCATGCGGCAGGCTGGTTCCAAACCATTGACACCACCACCGGCAACTAAATTACGTTTTTCATTGTGAGCCCGAACAATTTTGGCCTTAAAAGCATCATCCAGTGGCACCTCAGCTGCATTTCGTGGGCATTCTGGGCCAAAGTCCTAGAGGACGCAATTAGTTAGAATACATCTAAAAGGATAATGTTAATAACTTACTGTACTACCACATGCTATATGTTTTACTCCTTTATTACACAGCGTTGTATTACAATAATCTGTGGCTCTGGTAACACCAATTACAGCCGTGAGGCACAATGTAACTATTAACGGATTCATATCTCTGTGGTTGTTGAAACTCTTGTGATAGCATATTGTTGGCTATGTACTTCTTATATAGTTACAAATTTCACATAGAATGTACGTTTTATGACGCGTACTACAGATAATGTAAGGTCGTATCATAAAAATGCACAAGTTTGTATTTGTATTCTGGCATCTGGGTTTCACGATTTGTTTCTGATGTACACAATGATTGTCAAATAGTTATAAAGTTTATTAATTGTTTATTTGCATAGCAAAGGGTGGAAATTTACAACTGTTCTAGTTTTTTTTGAGGGCGATGTGTTAATGGGAACGCACCTAAAACATATGAAGGTTCCGACCATGATTTTAGTCTCAATAGGCGTACTTTAATTTATCCGCTTAGATTTTCGAAATAAAATGTGTTTTCTTTAAAAAAAAACACTTTTTAATATTTAATTATTTTTTTTAATATTTAATTTTTTATTTAATATTTAAAAAATGTAGAATGGTATGTGAAAGTTTCGCATCAGGGCGGAATAAATACAAGTTATCAACGTACTACCTTTGTAAGCCACATAGCCCAATATGCCTGATGAACTGCTTAACCAACGGCGAAACGCGTCGCATAATAGTGGGTATGTAGGTTCTTCTCCTGGCTTTCCTTTTCATTGCAAAACTTACATCATCAAGCTCGACTCGAAAGAGTATAAATAATCACTTAAAATTACTTTCAAATGATCACTGCCCTTACAAGGCAAAATTCAAATAACAAATATTGATAATTGTGCATAGCTCATTGAATTGGGTCTGTCGGTTCAGATTTGCATATAAATCTCATACATATTTTCCAGATTTAAATAATTTTGCTCAATTGATATTAATGGTACACCAACGACCCGATTGAAATGACATTGTGTATAGATAGATTGCAGTATACTAGAAAGGGGCAGTGGCTAAATAAATACCTCGTAAATTGTATATTTTTTTATCTATTATACATATTTTGTAATCAAATTGGCTGAAATTTGGTACAGTGAGTTCTCAATGGGTACAAAATGTCAACGAAGGTACATCTTTTCGTATAGCCCCCATCCTACGGCACCCCATTTTTAGTAAGTTTATATTGAATACACCATATACCAAATTACAAAATGAGAAAATGAGGCTAAATCTGACCAACAGTTGAAAACGTGGACTCAAATACCTCATTCCCCATACCGGGAATTCTAGTGATGTATGAATGATTTGTGTCGAATTTTATAAGCCTATTTCAAGTGGTTCGGCTGTTAAATATTTCTTACCCAACTTTTAGGTAAATAGCAGAAATCGGAAACCGTTGAATGGGGGCTACAAGAAAACGTGGACAAAGTTTGGCATGAACATTTTGTATGCGTTTAGAATTCACTATGGCAAATTACAGCTAATTTGATAGTAAAATGTTTATAATAGATACAAAAATACCTTTAATCGGGAGGTACGGTTATATGGTGGCTATATGAAAACATTGATCAATACCAGTAGTTTTTTGATGTATATATGCGATTCAAATTTTGGTAATCTACCCAAGTATTTATCAACGTGCTTATAAAGTATTATAAAACTATCTATTTTGAAACGATTTCATAACCCGGAAATATAAGATATTGTATTCACTATTTTGTAAATACCTAAATAAATACCAGCAAATGTGTATTTACCCACCCTTGGGGTATGTACCCGATAAATACAAGCTCATGTTTTGCTTTCGCTTCTCAGTGGCTGATAACATGCCAATGGTCCACCAAAAATACTACATCTGCTACAATGAAAAATCTTAGTAGCACTTCCTGTATATACGTAAAGTGGTGAAGTGTTTCCTTATTGCTTTTGGTAAATAGTAATAGTACGTTTACATTGTACCGGATTTCGTTAACCCAGTGTGTTTCAATTGTCAATTACATTGTATACATGTCAAATAGATCCTCATAAAGTAGGTTAACCCGGAAAAAAGTTCTAATGTAAATGCCGTTTAAAAACCCTAAATATAAGGACAAAGCTAAATAGTTAGAAGGAAAGTATTCAAAGTCCTAAAAATAACGGCAATCGAATTTTTTTAACATAGAACCGGAAATGCTAAATCACAGTCAATTCATTTGGCAAAAACCTTAAGATTAAGGTATCGTTGCCGAATTGAGGATAACATATATAGCGCATCATCGAAGTACATAAAAATCTTAAGAGATTTTAATTTTATTTTGTAGAATCTAAAGTAATTATTCCCAGGAATGACGAAGCTAATACTCGTATATCCTCAATACTATAGTGGAGGTTTGCAATTACATAACGGAAATCTGTATCAGCGTAGTCATTTTAAAGTAGTGAAACATCGGTAGGTTGTAGGCTATGAAAGTTCGAGGCCTTTATATGGCAACTATGTCACTTTAAATTGTCTCCTAGTCTGTTTATTTGGAAAATACAGGACAATCCGGAATGCCTAATGCTTTCCAAAAACCAAAAGTGACCCGTCTTCATATTGGGGCTATGTTTTGACATGGACCTTCATCGATAATTTGCTTGAAAGGTGTTTTGACTCTATGAAAACCTGGAATGCTAAAAAAACTTCAAAACATTCAGGGTCATACCAAAATTTATGCGTATGCGTACGATTTTATTCACCTCAAACGCATTGCGTATCAAAATATTAAGTTGAAATTTTTCAACATTGACAATGCGTATTTTGGATTTTTTGTTTTCTGAAAATAGAATTTCAGTCATTTTCTATAAATGCAAACATTTTTCGGTTAATTAAAAAAATGTTTTCATCTATTTCGCCGTTTTCAATTGACACACAAGTAAGCAATGTCCTGGCGTATTTGGGTTATAAACACATACAACAAAGCCTGTAAAGGTGAGAAGGTGGGTATTTTAGTATGCAACACAAAATTTATCGGTAAACTTTTATGTGCTAAATTACACACACTTCGGTGGGAAATGACGGATAAAACATAAACCTGCATATTTCCATCAAAGATGTGGATCCACCTGTCTGGCCGGCTGGTGGGCACAATAATTCTCGAAGGCAGTAACCTATTTCATTCAAATTTTCGGGGTTGGGGAATATCGGGTTTCTCCCCAACAAATGTTCAAAATTGTGAAAAAAAATAAATAAAAATAATAATAATACATTCCGAACGGACTATCCGATTTGAACCAATCTTTGCACAACATATTATTTTTATCAAGCCTAGATCAAGTCCTTCTGGTACCTCCGCCACAAAGGGTCAACATTTCCAATATTAGGCGAAATAAATATTCGATTTAAACCAAACTTTGCACGTCATTAAATCCGAAACCTCTTTGATAAAAAGCGAATAATAAAACCTGTGTGTAAGACCTCTGGGAACCATAAGGGTATATATCTGTCGGCAACACCGCCTGAAAATTTTTACTTGTTAATATTGTGATTTCTATCGGTGGGAATTGGGCATTCCACTAATGTCATTACATGACATTACTATTAAATATATATTTGAGTTAGTACAATTCGGACAACGACGTGTCTGTGCTGACCGAAATATATGAAAATTATTTGGAATTCTATTAGGCTGAGAGCCCATAAGTCAATGTGGAAAATTGTTGCATCTGGAGCTCGGAAAATCTAAGGGTTAGCGTTAAGAAGCCTCTTCGTCCTCTGAAATGGGCATGTTTTTGAACATTTCAACAGCATCTTTGGTTGACGAAAATCGTTGACCAAGTCAGGGCATCCAATGACGGATCCCGTCAATGACAAAGGTGTACCTCTCAGAATTGACTGGTTTCATTGCTCTCGCGAAAAAAAGTGGTCATATGGAAATGACCACTTTTGCCCAAGAAATATGCGATAATTTGCTTTGAAGTACTTTCTTACGAATGGCTAATATTTGGGTTGAATTTGGCTAATATTTGGGTTCAATTTTGGGTTCATAGGTTAGATCCATGATTCGTCAACTTTGGTGATCTTATAAACGTCATTTAAGGCACAGTGAACCTATTTATTAATTTGATAATTTCTTTAATCTCAGGAAAATGTTCACGAATTAATTCAGTTTTTTGATATGAACACAGTTCATATCATTCGTCAAAATGTGCTTATGTTAAAAAATTTCAAGTTTTCCAATAGAATGGCGCCATTAAATGTTGCAGGAATATGTAATAGCCCTCGTAATACTGATAATGAGACAGGACTTTTAATGTGGGTGCTATGTCAGAATATGGACCATAATTAGTGATTTATACGCTGATATATGTTACTCTTTTAGCACTCATATCCGTTTAAAATATTGATAAAGTCTATATAATACCAAAAATGGAAATAAGGAGACTATTCCAAATCGTGGGCCCTTTGAGACAGTCACCACTCAGAAGTAGTAGCGACGTGTTTTGCAGAATTTTTAAAATTTTTTCTTAAATATGAAAGCTTTGATGTCATACCGTCCTATTATACATAGAATTATGCAACACCTCTATGTGTGCAAAATGAACTACCATGTACAACATATTTTTTGGAAATCAAACACGAAGATCTATGAATTATACAATTTTTTATTTCATTTCAGGTCAGCAATAAAAGATTTAACAATATTTTTAGTACCACTTATTAACATTATACACCTCGGAGGTAGAACACAAATTAGGATATTGAGGATTTGTACCGGTCGAGCATGATGTGGCTGGAGAGCTGCAGTTCTTGTAGATGGGGAAACCCAACATATTTGTGGTAGCATAGTTGCAGGCAATCAAGAAGATTTGTCTATCACCATCGATTCTGGTATCATCATAAGTGGCGGCGGCACAACCAACACGAATGTTACGATCGGCCATCATAACAGTAAAGTGACCAATTTTACTGAAATTTAAAAATAATTTTAATAAATGTATTGTACATTTGAAAAACATGTATTGTAACTTACGGTCCCTTATAGCCCACTGGGAACTCATTGAGATAATCCATTTTAACATCCTTAACTTCATCGTACCACATGGCAAAAGATTTTTGGAAAAGCGTGCTATAACTTTGCTGACCCCAGAATGACCGCCAAGCCAAATTTTGACCAGCATATTTAAAGGTTTCGGTGTTGCGACACTTATCATGAGCCATTTTGCACTGGAGAACGTTGTATGCGGCAACGGCAGCCAATTCATCATCCCATTCCATGGTGGCCATACGGCAAGCAGGTGCCAGACCATTTACACCTCCTCCAGCTACCAGATTACGTTTTTCATTGTGCGCCCGGACAATTTCTGCTTTCAGATTGTCATCGATGTGGACAAAGGCAGCATTATCGGGACATGATTCATCAAATTCCTGAAATTAGATTTTGATTCATGTTACGAACATTTTTTTAGAACTGTGCACTTGAAACTATTGTAAAAACTTAAATCTCGTAAGAGTGCTTTTCATTGGGTACTTTAATATCTGCCTCTCCTCTATAAGCTTACCTTGTCGCCACATGCAATATGTGTCACTCCTTTATTGCACAACTTAGTCGAACAATAATCGTAGGCGATTACCGAGGCACTAAGAGTGCTGACAATTAAAATAATGGCAAACTTATTCATTTTTTTACGCTTAGGACAACTTTTAATTCACACTCTTCTCAGTGTCGAACTGATGAAGATTTCATTCAAACACTCGCCTTAAATAGTTAAAAGTTTGTCATATATTTCCAACATATGTTGTAGATCAAGGTCGCCACAAGGAATGCTGATAATAACGTGTAAATAATACAGTTACAGGTGTTTCCGAATTTCAGATTTACTTACAGAGTATAAATATTAGCACGCACTATCAAATGTTTACCAATTATGTTTGGTGTTTGCATAGTTCTTTTAATTGTGTAAAATGTTAGGATAGGCATTTATCTATTTGGATCAAGTGACGTCGTTCTATGTTTCTTTATTTGTTTTTATTACCTTCAAGTGATATATTTTATCACCTTGTTTGTGGGAATGCCATGATGTTTTCGGAATGTTCGAAGACTCTATGTCTGGCAGTGACTAGAAGGCTATAAAAGTGTTGTGACACTATTGCAGAATAGTTATGGATGGGTGCACTAAATCTGATAAAGTATATCTTTTGAACAGGTCAAGACTCATAATTTGGGTTAGGTTTTAGGTTTTATATTCGTTTTCGAAGAAAAAATATTTTGATGTTGTGAGTTAGAGTTTTGCAAGACGGGAACTATATTATGAGGGCTACTATATATTATCACTAAGTGTGGAATGGCGCCATCTGATATTTTCATTTGAGAGGAATAACAATTTTAGAATTTTTTTAAAAATTGTTAAAGAATTGTAATCGGATAATGCAGGTGACATCTTTGGAAATTTATTTTACATTAAAATGACAAATTAAGATGCAAATAGATATGAAATGGAACAAAATTATACATGTACATGCCACAAATATATATGGTAGATATACCTACCTTAACGACGTCATTCTAGGCTCAATTTAGAACGTTGTGCAAAATTTATTCGCATTCGGGCAATATTTGAGTGTTTGGTGCACAAATTAGATACATTTCATAAAAAACCAGTAAGGAAAGTAGTAAAGTCGGGTGGGGCTGACTTTATCACACCCTTCGCCACTTTACTGAAAATCGGATAGAACTATATATGGGAGATATATCTAAATCTGAACCGATTTCAGCGAAACTTTCCACACCGTAGGTTATACCAACTTCAGAACGTTCTGCAAAATTCTGTGCCAATCGGCCATATTTGGGAGCTTTGGTGTCCAATTTACTGAAAATCGGACGAAACTATATATTGAAGCTATATCTAAATCTGAACCGATTTCAGCGAAACTTTCCACGCCGTAGGTTGTACCAACTTCAGAACGTTCTGCAAAATTTTGTGCCAATCGGCCTGATTTTCAAGTTTTGGTGCCCCATTTACTGAAAATCGGATGGAACTATATATGGGAGCTATATCTAGATTTCAGCGAAACTTTCCACACCATTGGTAATACTAAAAGTTGAAAAGGGCGACGAAAATATACATATATCGATTTCTTATCTTTGAGCACCCCATCCAACCTGAGTAATTTTTTTTTAATATCCAGAGATCTCGTTTTGTGGTAATTACTTTACGAGTCAAGAAAATAAAGACGAAATGGTCACACAAGGAATCGAGTTCGAAGGACTATTGCACTGAAGATATGTCATCTCAAAAATAATCTGCGGTAGCTGAAGTGAAATTGATAATATTCTCGCGGAGGCTTTCATCTCTAAAAAATTAACAAAATGGCAGAATAATTTTGCGAAGAATGAAGTTAGAAAGAAGGGATTGGCCGATTACGTTTATCCTAGTTCATATGATAGCTATGTATGTACAGAATAACATAACATAAATAGTTAAAATGTGGACCGGATTGGATTATTAGTATTTGAGTTATAGTGCCCGCCATTCGTAAAACTAATATTTCGAGAAAATCGCATTTAAAGTTTGAGAATCGCTCTTACCGTCGCTGATGCAATAAATTTTAAATTGATATTCTTGAATTGGTGTAGATTCGAATTAAACAAAATTTAATTTCTTGAAACTGCTCCTCACTTTGGTCAAAATAAGCTTGTGCTGCAGCCATTTTTCAAATCTTCTCTAATACCCAAATATGTTTCATTGATATTACAACGTCAACTAAATTTCTAAGAGGCGTACAAAAATATTCAACTTTCCCACCATTGCAAAATGTTTTGTACGGCCGTATTACCCAAATACGTCGAATCCATATCTCTTAGCGAACAAAACAAAATCGCGAAACAAAATTATAAAATGTGTTCAAATATTTCAAAATCTTATTTAAAAATTGATATTTTCTTTGAAGAAAGATTTGATTGAAGAAAAACTCAAATCCCTGTTCTGTCATAGTTGAATTCATACGTCAACGTATTTCGGTAACATTCATATAATTACGTGTGTTCTACATTTGTAGTGAATAACGTCGAACGGCCTAGTTGAATTTTAGGTAGGGCTGTTATGAAAACTTTCAATTGATATTTTTGTCCCCTCCTGTCCACCTCGAAATATTCGTTTGATAAGAACAAGATTCTATGTCGTGTTTTCGATGTACGTTTGTCCTTCCGTCTGACTCTTATTAAAACCAGTAAGAAAAGTAGTAAAGTCGGGCGGGGCCGACTATATGATACCCTTCACCAATATGGGTATATTAAACAGGACTATTAACATGAAATTGGATGAACTATAATATGTGATATTTATCCAAATGTGAATCGACTTAGATCAATCCATATGTCTATGTCTGTACTTCTAGAAAACGCAACTACGTTATTCTATGCTTAATTTTGTACGTTGTGCAAAATTTCATGTCAATCTGACAAACATGAGAAGTTTGATGCACCATTAACTTAAAATCGGACGAAAATATATATGGAATCTATATCCAAACTTGAACCGATTTCAAGAAACTATCACAGGTTATGTTATACTAATTTCAGTACGTTTTGTTTCCATCAGCCATATATTGGTTCCTTGGTGCGTTAATTACTTAAAATCAATCGATAATATAAAAGGGAGCTATATCTAAATCTCAAACGATATTCACGTTATGTCAAATTTCTTGCAAATCGAAACATATATAAGCACTTGTGCACCATTTACATTAATCGTACGAAACTATAGATGTGAGCTATATCTAAACCTGGAACAATTTCCACGAAACTTGCCAGACATCATTTTAGGCTAAATTCAGTACGTTATGACAAATTTTGTACAAATTGATACATATATAGATATACATATATAGGCGAAACTTATATGGGAGCTATATCCAAAGAAACTTGACACACATCATTCTAGACCTAATTCATTACGCTGTTCCAAATTTCGTGCAAATCGAAAGATATATAGGGATTTTGGTGCTCCATTTACCCTAAATCGGACGAAAATATATATGGGAGCTATATCCAAATCTGAACCGATTTTCAAGAAACTTGACACACATCATTACATACCTAATTCATTACGATGTGCCAAATTTCGTGCAAATCGAATGATATATAGGGACTTTGGTACACCATTTACCTTAAATCGGACGAAAATATATATGGGAGCTATATCTAAATCTCGACTGATTTTCACGAAATTTGGTAGACATCACCCTAAGCACAATTCAGTATGTTATGCCAAATATCGTGAAAATCAGACGATATATAAGGACTTTGGTGCACCATTTACATTAAATCAGACGAAAATATATATGGCAGACATCATTCTAAGCCCAATTCAGTTTATTTTACCAATTTTGCCAATCGGAAGATATATATGGACTTTAGTGCACCATTTACATTAAATCGGACGAAAATATTTACGAAAATCGGACGAAACTTAGTAGACATCACTCTAGGCCCAATTCAGTCTGTTATGCCAAATTTCGTGCAAATCGAATGATATCGGACGAAACTATATATGGGTGCTATATTTAAATCTGGACCGATTTTCATCAAACTTGTCAGACATCATTCTAAGCTCAATTCAGTTTATTTTGGCAAATTTCGTGCCAATCGAAGAATATATAGGGACTTTAATGCACCATTTACCAATTCGGATTATAAATGCGACCTGTACTTTGTTTACAATTTGACACCAACAGACGGACGGACGGACATGCATAAATCGACTCAGAAAGTGATTCTATGTATATTCTCAAAAGGAACTATGGGTCTATCTCGTTTCCTTTTGCCTGTTACAAACATATGCACAAAGACATAATACCCTGTACCAAAGTGTGGTGAAGGGTATAATCACGATTGAGCCCTGCACTGACATTGTCATTTTTCTTAGGATATTTGGGAAAGGGGTATATCCGCCCTATTTTGGGTGTTTTGACTCCGTGTTTATTTGGTATTCCGTGATTTGGAAACACTTTTCCAGACCTCTTTTAGTGGTAAACTTTTTGACATAACCTCCATATGAAGGCCCCGCCCCATATTCGCTGTAAGCATTTGTACACCAAAGTTCTGCATTTTTGGCATTTTTCTATAGAGGTCGAATAACATATTTGGCGAAATATTTCGATATACGTTCATATTTTAATATAGCTCCCATAAAGAGGTCCTGTATGTATATTACGGTTCTAGCCAAGTTTTTTCACCTAAGTGTCTGTATTTTTCTCAGATCATAAATATCCTACTCGCATAGATATAGTCTCCAAATAAGGGTCTAAACTTATTTAAAGAATTCTGAAGACACTCCACATGGTGGTTTCACTATTTTTTTAAATAAAACAAAATTTGTATGTTTTGATATTCATTTCATTTTGTTGTTGATGTTGTTGTTGTTTTTATTGGTAAATAACTTAAATTCATGAATAATTACATATTTTCATATATAGTTGACCATTCCTGGAGATATTATTTATGTATTTATGGTTGTGTGTGTGTGTGTGTGTTTTTTTTTTGTATGCCTGTATATTTGCTTGTATATATAAGTGATTGGTTAATCTACATACATATGTATAGGTATTTTATTTAATATTAGTTTTTTTTTTTTGTTTTAAATTTTCTTAAATTGAATTTCACACATTTCATAATAAAAAC